AGGATAGGAGTAGGAGTAGGAGTAGGAGTCAGGCTAGCCAGCTCGAGCGAGTCAAGCATGGCATGCCCAGTCCCACCCGCCCTCCCACAACATAAGAAGCAAAGCTGGCACAACTGGGGGCCGAAGTCACACCGGCCAGCCGGTTTGGTACAGCTGATGCGGCCGCGATGGCGGTTGCCGACGGGAACTGGCGAGCGCGTGTTGAATGCCGCGCACGCATTGCCAGACGAGTCGAGAATGGCCCGGTACACCGCAGGAAGCCAGAGGTGGCCGTGTCGAGAACGGCCCGGTAAGCCGGGTCCAATTCCTGCCATGCATTTTGCAACGTGGACGACAGGACGTCCATGCGACGGTGCCAATGACGGCGACGACTCTAGAAGGATTTGAGCATGCGCTCGCGGCGACGCGCGCGCATGTCGCCCGCGTGGCGTTTTTTGCACAGGATTCGCGGCCTGGGTGCATGACAGAGCATCACGAGTGCACCGCGCGATGACGTGAAATCGCTGGGTTTGACCGAATTCTTAAGATTCCTATAGTTTTCCTCTGACTTCAGCAAGAGAGCCCGGGCAGGAAATGTGTAGATTTTTTGTGAAAAAGCATTGGGTTTTTGATGTTTTTATGTTGACATGCTTGCAAACACACGGTGTTCGGTAGGATTCTGACATGAACGCGCGCGCGTGCTCTTTGTGGTATTTTTTGCAATGGATTATCGCCGTGGACGACAGGACGTCCATGTCGAGAGGAAAAAATAAGAAAAATGTTGATTTTGTATTGTTTTTTTACAGGTTAGGATGGGACCACCCGGATGCGCCCGCTATCTGCCGGCCTGAGGGGGGAGTAGGAGTATATTATAATAAGGAATAAGGATAGGAGTAGGAGTAGGAGTAGTAGTAGTAGTAGTAGTAGTAGTAGTAGTAGTAGTAGTAGTAGTAGTAGTAGTAGTAGTAGTAGTAGTAGTAGTAGTAGTAGTAGTAGTAGTAGTCATAGTCGTAGTAGTAGTAGTAGTAGTAGTAGTAGTAGTAGTAGCAGGGGTAGTAGGAGTAGTAGGAGTAGTAGGAGTAGTAGGAGTAGGAGTAGGAGTAGGAGGAGTAGTAGTACTACTGGTACTAGTACACTACTAGTAGTAGCC